GCAAGCGGAAAAACTGAAACTGTTTTATTGGGCGAACTAAACAACGAGTGAAAATCGAAGACAATTGATACTTCTCTATCCAGGCATAAATTCTGATGTTACTTAGCCACGGCTGCCAGTGAGAAAAACGCTTATACCGCATCGGCTGACAACAGAAAACTATGCTTCGAGTAGTCCAAGATAATCTCGTGGTGAACACTCGTTGCAGAGATGCCTCTGTTTAACTTAATTTGTGCAAAAGACAAGGTTCTTGTTACGAACACAGCAGCGCTTTGTTCGTAACAAGAGCCTTGTCTTTTGCACAAATTAAGTTAAACAGGCATCTCTGCATCGATTGTTCACCGCGAGATTATCTTTTATAACAGCTCAGAGGCGTAGGTTAACGTGGCCTCGCACAAGTCCTGTGGCAATACTTTTTTGCAGACTAGTTCGTTCATACTTGAAAAATTGAATTGCTGCACAAACTTGAAGAAAAAAACAAGAGAGACAGGAAAGAGTGCAGCACTCTTTCCTGTCTCTCTTGTTTTTTTCTTCAAGTTTGTGCAGCAATTCAATTTTTCAAGTCCTGTGGACAAGGCAGCTTTTCTTTACACGCAACTGTTTACAAAAAAAAATACAAAATACCTGCCTACCGTATCATTCACTTCACGCGGTGGCATTGTAGTTTGGTGGTGGTGGTTATAGATGGATGGACGCATAAAAACTTTGTTAGTCCGGGAGTGCACGACTCAACGCACAGTGGGTCAGATGGAAAAAAAAAGTTTACATGGGCTGTATGTTGCATAATACACTCGTTTTATTTCCAGCAAAACGTCGTTCAAAATCGACTCTTTGGCCCTGGTTTCCACTGGTGGCTGTCTTCACTGTCGAATAAATATAGCTGAAGACACGCGCCGTTTGGTTTAGAAATAAGCCCGACAGCACTAGGCAGGAGAGCGAGAGCAGAATCTTGCTCGCCTGACCGCTTGTATCCAACGCCGCCTCCTCTTGGCACGCCCTCCCTTTCCTCTACACGTCCTCCCACTTTTTATATCTGGTGGCACTATATAGAATACGCAGCAGTACCGCCAGCGCCCTTTGGTTTTGATACGGTGATGCGCGCACGCACCGCCTCTACCAGCCGCCCCTCTCGTCTGCGGGAGCAGCTGAGAAGTGCGCGCTCTCACCGCCAGGGTAGTCGAGGAACTCCATGATGTTTAGCAGTCTGTACGAGCGAATGTTAACCTTTTCTTTCTTGCCTTTATATATTAGGTTCACTTTACTTTTCCACCAAATGTCTGGTACTTTCTTCTCCTGTAAGCACATTTCTACTAATTTCAGCAGTGTTTCTTTCTACGGATTTGGATGGATGGATGGATGGATGGATTGATATGGCTGCACCCTTTAGATCAGGTAGAGTTACTGTATATGCTCCCTAAAGGTAGCCTATACAATAACTCTAAGATCAGGCGGCAGCTAACGCTACCTAGCCGTAATACTTAGTGAACCAAAAACTAGATTTATCTTTTTTTAGATGCGGAGCATCTTATACTCGCGCCTTGTAGTGCGCCGTCCGCACCGCTTCTCGAACATTCGACAGCTGACGCGCGCGCATGCGCCGTCGCGCCGTCGCCCACTCTTCCACCATCTGTGCATCCCTTCCTCCTCTACACACCGCGCGCGCTTCACTCCTCCACCATCTGTGCACCCTTCCTCCTCTACACACCGCGTTCGACATCTACAATTCTCCTGATTCTCCAGTGGACGCGCATGTGGCGTCGCGCTTCGAGAACATTCAACAGCTGACAGTGCATGCGCCGTCGTGCTGTATATATACTCAAGGTCGGCGCTCGCTCGCTCAGTTGCCGCTCGTCGGTTGGTTTGTACGGCGCGTCGACGGCCAAGGTCGCGGTGAAATGAATTCCAACGAATCCACAAACACAATGATCGACGTCCCTTCGACCAGCGCCGCCCTTTCGCATACGTGTGTACGTGTTCACTCATTTAACACCCCCTCCTACAACCACGTTAACCAATTTAGCCATTGACCCAAGTAAGTCGCAATTTAACACCCCATTTCACAACCACGTTAACCAATTTAGCCATCGACCCAAGTAAGTCGCACTTTAACACCCCGTTAACCAATTATATGGTCCGCATCCTCCTCAGTGTTCCCCCGAGGGAAGCTGCGGGCAATTTTTTTTTCCTTTTAAATAGTGAAGTTGAGGTTTGGTACTTTATAGTGAAGGGTTTGATCTTCACTCGTGCCTTGATTTCAGCCACCAATCAGGTAACCTCCTTCTAATTCTACCCGCTTAAATTCTGTTTTGCCCTTCCTGTCCCTAAACTCTAAACCCCACTGCTTTGAAAAAAATCTGCGCCATAATTCTGAACTATAAGCTGAAGCCCTTTACAGAACATTATCAAGTGTTCGGCAGTTGCCTCCTCCTCTCCACACGCACTGCATACCGCGTCTACTCCTTCGTAGTTGGTCCGATATGTCTTGGTTCGCAATACTCCCGTCCTGGCCTCAAACAGCAGAGAACTACCCCGAGTATTATCGTAAATCCTTTCCTTGGCAATTTCCTGCTTAAACGTTCGATAGATATCTATGCGGACTTCTTAATCATGCCAATTCTCCACGTATCGGTCTCCGTTTCCTTCACCTTCTTCTTAACCGATAGCTCTTTTCGGTTTGGCCCCCTGCTCTTTTCTAATTATTTACCCGTCAATTTTCTGGTTCGCTTCCTCCATTTTGTATCGACATTCCTCATGTACAAGTAGCTGAAAACCTTCCTAGCCCAACGCTCCTCCCCCATTTCTCTCAATCGCTTCTCAAATTTTATCTTACTGCTAGCTTCCCTGCCCTCGAATGGTGTCCATCCCATATCACCTTGCACTCCCTGATTTGGTGTTTTTTGTGTGTGTGTGTGTGAGCTCCTAACTCCCTATTCCTCGTCGCTTGCTCGAACCTCTGATCTCATGCACAAGACTGCACTGCCGAAAGTCAGACCAGGAACCATGACACCTTTCCAAGTTCCTCTCACCACATCATACCTATTGTAATTCCACAGTGCTCTATTTTTCATCACCGCTGCATTCCTGTTTTCTTTATTCATTACGTATATTTAGGGTTTCCTTAGGTACTCGGCCCCATTGCTTATCCATGCGACCAAATATGTGTATTTATTCGTTATGTCTAGCGTGACCTCCTGTATTGTAAGCTCACTACCTTCATTATCATTAAAAATCGTGACTGCAGATTTTTTCTTACTGAACCTCAAATCTAACTAATCTCCCTCATTACCGCAGATGTCCATCAATATTTGCAAATATTCCTTGTTGTTGGCCATTAGCACTGTATCATCTGCATACATCAATGCTGGTAGTGCCCGTTCAATTAGTTTTCCTTGTTTGATGAAAGAGAGGTCAAGTCCACTTACCTAATTTGGCCTCTAATCCTTGTAGGTATATCATGAATAACAAGGGAGACAGAGGACACCCCTGTCTAAGCCCCCGTTTCACCTTTGAAGGCTTGGATACCTGTTTTTTTTTTTCATTTTATAACTACCTTGTTACTTTTATAGATATCATTTAAGATATTACTGACTCCATCCTCCACACCTAGTGTGTCCAGTATTCCCCACAAGACCTCTTGAACCACGCTCCCTTGATATCAAAAAATGCTAGACACAGGGACCTGTGTTCTTTTTCTGCTATTTTGATGCACTGCGTCAGTGAGAACAGATTCTCTTCCTACCTCCTTTGTTTTCAAACCCATTCTGGAGTTTCCCCCGTCCACCCTCATCCTCTATCCATGCCTGCATTCTTTATAGTATATCTGCATAACCATGCAGCGTGTAAACCACAGATGTCACTGTTATAGGACGATAGTTGTTTATGTCAGCTTTGTCCCCTTTTCCTTTATAGATCATGCTCATTCTGCTAAGTTTCCATCAATTAGGGACTTCTTCATCAATTATTATTTTGCTCACTGCCTCTCTAAAAGTCTGCTTTGACTTGGGACCTATTTCTTTATCAGCGTAATTTGAATGCTGTCAGGGCCTGTTGATGTACTACTAGGAACCCTCTTCTCAGCCCTTTCCCACTCTAGTTGTGAAAATGAAGCCACTGCACAACTTGATTCATCCTTGTCTATTAAGGTACATAAGGCACTTCCTTGTTGAATTTTTTCTGTCATCCTTGCTCTTATATATTTAATAGCTTCGTCCCCTTCTGGCATAACACCTTGAGCTCTGCTCTAGGCTTGTCTCATTTCTTAGGAAGTTTAGATGGTTCCAAAATTTTTCAGCTGCCTTTCTATCCTTTTTATGTACTTCTGCCAGCCACCCACTGAGCCCCATTTCGTCTAATCTTTTCATTGATCAGAAGGGATGCTTGCCTTCTACAAGTTAGAAAGATATCCCATTTTCTTTCAACATCATATGTCGGTTCACCCAGCTGCTTAGCATGTCTGTGTTCCCTAGAGGCTTCCTGACATTTTGCTATGGCTCTCTTACTTCCTCATCCCATCCACTTTCGGGTTTGTGTCTCCTTTTCCGGGGTGCCTTAGCAAGCTCTAGCTCAAACAGTCTAATTAGATTCGTGTACGTCCACACTGTTTTATTATTCTTAGTGATTACTTTCTCAATTTGTTTAGTAGCTATTTCTATTTGCCGTTCTGAATATAAATTTTCCTGTAGTTGCTCATCTTGTCTCCTTCCCACTTTCGTTGCAACAGATGCATGAATGAATGAATCCGGCTCTGCCTGTTAGATTGGGTAGTGGCTCGCGTCACCTAGCGATGAAGTGAAGTACTATCACTGTATGCTTAAGGATTGAATTTCACACGCGCCTCGATTGTAGCTGCCGATCAGTTAGCCTCCTCCTGGTTATTTATACCCGTTTAAAGTCTATTTTGCCTTCACTGTTTATAAACCCTAACGCGCTATAATGTGCGTGGACTTTAACGCGCTACTGTGTACAGCGCTCCTTGCGGCGTCTATGCACTTTGGGGACCGGTTTCAGCGGGCGCTCATAGTCACTCAACTTGGTGCGTTTGTATTCTGCGCGCTTGAAATGTAAGTGGTGTTTTGTTCCGTGATAATAGTACTGCTTAGAGGTTGATTTACTCACTTCCGAAGTAATAAAGGCTTCTTCAGAACACTTATATGTGCCGGTGTGCTTGTAATACTGTGCGGATAGCTTCTAGTGTCTGGCGTCGCTTTAATTTTCTGACGGCAGTGCGCTGCATGTACACGCTCGCTTTGTTTCAGTTCTACAGCTAATGATTGACATACTTAGAAGAGCCGCGTTGAATTATTGCTATCCGCACCATGTCCATTATTTAGGGAATACCATTAAAAATGTAATCAGCGCCTGTGTTTCGAAGTGGTGTAGCAAAAGCTAAAACCGAATAAACGTCTCCTGTACCTGAGCAGTAGACCAACCTAGGTGTACTAGACTGTTCGTTTTATTAAGGCGATCTTTGATAAGGTCGGGTTTTGCTATATGCGCAACTATGCAACAGTAAGTGGCTTGGAAGCTTGAACTAGCAGTGCTCATGAGGCTTCGGTCGTTAACTAGCAACATATCCCTACCCGGCGCCGTCTGATAGAAAATCAGTAGTTCGATGCCAAGTGATGTTTGTGTTCTTGGGGAAGTTTTCCCCGTTTGGAACTCTCAGAGCGGTGGCATTTTAGCCATAGAAGATCAGTGCCCCGCAAACATGACTCAATAATTTAATCATATTTTTCTCTGAAAAACACTTTCTACTCCCCCCCCCCCCTCTCCCGCTATCTAATAGCGAATGAAACGCACTAAATCATTATAGTTTCATCTAAAACTCTTCAGAAAAAAATTACTGAAAGATGTATAGAAAAATGCTTTCTCTGCCCGAACCTCACTGATGTACAGTATGCACTTTGTTGTGTTCTCTGTTGTGTGATGTATCTGTAATGAGTTTCTTTCCTCTAGAAATTTCTGTGTGGGATTAACGGCATCATTCAAGAGGGAAGCTGTTGCAGACGACACGGTTTTTTTTTTTTACCTTGTTTGCGACACTTGTAGGGTGCAATATTTTTTCTTCCTCTCAATGATTCAGCCGCACTGCATCCTGTGTCTTGGATGCAGTGATGGTGATGTGGTGGCAGTTATGGTGATGTGGTGGTATGTCTCTTGAGCCTTTTTTTTTTTTTTCATGCAGATGTGATTCGTGGGGCACAACTCCATGACTGCTTGGCAAGGGCAACTCTTTCTTCTTGACGGTCTGGTACCGTAGAATGGCTGTCACCATGCCGGGCATAGTTCCAGAAGTTATTCAAGAGCCTGGTGGAAGAGTGAAGGTGCCTTACTCACCTTTTTTGCCTTGAACCTGCAACTATTTCATTAAATAATGCCTTTTGTGTGCGTAGCACTCTTCAACATGGTTGCCTCATTGCATTCTTTAATCCTGCATTTCTCAGTGATTTTTTTTTTTTCTCACTTATACCGCAATGTTTTGCTAGACACAGCTGGAACCGAAGCGGAATGAACAGGATGGCATAGGGATGTAAGCGAACTTGTTGGGCTGGTGCAATAAAGATTAACGAATGTATCAATCACTGATAATCCATGTACATGTTTGTGCATCATGACAACTTGCTCACACTTCCACCTGTGTGCACTGATTGAATTGATAGATGTGATGTCTGTGATGAACTAGAGAAGTGTTGGCTGAATAGCCTGTTGTAGTTGCATTTGAGCTAGTCAGTAATAAGTGCACTAAGTTGGACCCTTGTCTTGTTCATTCATGTTGTGTGTTGTAGAGAGTACTTAATCTGTAGGTATCAGTACACAGGGAATTAAAAGCAGGTTCCCGAAGGATAACGGTTGACATGGTTATCAAAGTTTTTTTCGCGCAGTCTTTACTAAATGTCTTGTGTTTAATTTTCTTTGGGGCGACGATAGTGATGATAGCTCATCTTACAGAAATTTAAGAATTGTCCATTAATTTAGTGGGACGAAGCAGCAATGAAATGAAATTCCTTATTTGGACAAGTTAGCTCAGAATTGTATCTTAAGTTATCGGTGACGTAGTCAAATCACCAGGATGGATTTTACTCTTAATCACTTCATAAAACAACCCACTTTCTTCAAATGTTTTTTATATTTAACAGTGTTTGTATGACTTTACAAATGTGCTTGCAATAATCGGTAGATATAGTAATTAACTAAATGATGCAAGAACTTGAAGGTTAGTCGACTTTCAAGGAAAAAAAGTTGTATTGTAGGGCAGTGCAGCATATGTTACAGTAGATAAAAAGCTTGCAAAGGCCATTAATTGAAGCTGACACCCTTGCCATTGAAACAAGCACGTGCAGTAACTAGTCTGAAATGTTTTTCACTATTTTTGTTCTCTTCAATTCTCAGGGATTGACCATCGTTAAGCCCATTGTGTATGGCAACGTTGCTCGGTACTTTGGGAAGAAACGAGAGGAAGATGGCCACACCCATCAGTGGACCGTCTACTTGAAGTCGTACAAAAATGAGGTGCGTGCATAGTCATCATTTATATGAACACGTGAAAGCTGCAGAATCGAGTGTTTAAATAACGAAGTTGCTGCCCTTTGCGTGACCGTAGGATGGTCTATTGTGGCCTGCCTGGTGCGACAAAAGTAAGGGACAGCCATGGGGCTCAGCTTTTGTTATTGTTGTTGCTATGTTTGTATTAATGAAACATGCATTGGAGCTTGAGAAAGTAGAAGAAATTTTGTTTTTGGTCGCAGTCTAGAAGTAAAATACGAGTTGAACACGATAGCAATATTCCATTCCTAGTATGTACTTCAAACACTTGGTGTATGAAATCTTTTCGTACTTGCTATGCACCCACTACATGACCTTAAAGAGCCTGTAAACCACCTCCGATATTTTTTCAAGCATTTCAAGTAAACGTGCGCATCGTGTGCAGAATGCAGTCGCGATCAAAGATTCTACACGTGGCAGCGCTACGAGCTGCCGGCGCACCACAAATTCAAAGAAACAATCCTTCCTTCTTTACGGGCATTTCGAACCTCCGCGTGATGTGCCATGTCACATCTCTGGCACGCCAAGCCAAATATGCCAAATGTGCTGTGATTGGTCGAGCAAGAGCCTACGAGCTCTGATCAGTTTGCAAGCAGCTGTCCCCGCTGCTTGTTCTTTGTCGTGTGCCCACGTTCGTGCAACACGTGCGGGGCACAGCATGTCCCTGTATGGGTCCATAGCGTTGGCGATCTTTTGAAGGCGTGCACACAACGCAGGGTCCATACCGGCATGATTACGGCAGCCATGGTTCGCCAGCAAGCACCCAGCCACAACACAACTGATGGAGTCGACAGCCGGAGTCGCGGCAACTGGAAGTAGACGGTGTTTCAAGCAGCGCATCAGCGATGACGTATGCCACGCGAGATTGGGATGGGCATTGTAGGGGCGCTCGGCGAGCGGGCAAAGCGGCGTGAGAGAGGATACCTGCAGAGGGAAGCGCAGGAGAAAGCGAAAAGTGTGGTCATCACGGTTTCGATAATCAAACGCGTCGAACTCTGCTATTACTGCACGGTTTCAAAAAATTCTCACGGCTCCGTGTTCGTCATACTCTCATGCACAATTTCCCCACCACAACTGAATTTGGACCTCTGGGTGGTTTAGGGGCCCTTTAAGGGTGCAATAGCATGTGTGCCTACTGCAGTGGGTGACTGGCTTTAAACTATGAAGTCACTATGATAATCCCATGTTGTGATGCCCGAAGACAACGTACGCTTGTACCAAGCACTATTATGGCAATATTTCGTGTTGTATTGTGAAGCATATACACGGAACCCATGTGTTTGTAAACCATGATAGCTACTTTTACTGCATTTCCAAGCAGAGGAAGTTATTTTCGCTGTATTCACTAGCACAGGCATAGCTGTGTGGTGGAATACCAGCTTGCCACGCCAACGGCTCGGGTTCGATCTCTGCTCGGACGCATAATTTTTTGTTTATTTTATTTGTAGCTTTCTCGATTTTTTCTTATCTTGCAAAGGTGCTGGATTGTTCGGTCAAGCAAAGATGATGATTTTTCGCTCACAGCCATTGACGCTGACACCGACGCTGGAATTTCTGCGAAATGAGCTCTTTAACGCTATTGCATTAACCCTTTCAGACGCCACCTATGAAGAACTGTGTAAATGTGTCAGATCAATACAACGTTACTTCATGGCATGCAATATTCTATTGCAACAAGGACAATGGGATAATTCTTGAATTTATGAGTTTTATAGCAACTCATCCTAATTAAGTTTTAATTGAATATCTCTTTACACTGAAGTCATTGATGTTTACTTCTGGCATAACTAGAATAAAATCTCAGTCTAGGCCTATATATATAGCAAATTCACTTTGGGTTATATCCCTTTTAAGCAAAGAAAAATTATTTTCACATTGCTCGCAGGAACGTGGTGGTGCCTTCAGAAAAGTGATCATATGTATCAGTACACTGCAAAATTAGGCTAAATGAAGACAAATTTACTATGCAGGAGGTTCAATTCATCCAAAGTATGATACATGTTGCTCTTTCTTAGCCTCTACTTGATGCAAATAGCGAAAACGAGTGGCGTACACAGTTGTGTGCATAGAGTCTCAAAGATTTAAAATAACAAACTGAAAAATGAAAGTGCGAGAAACAGCTTGTTGCAGGTAGAAGCTGCATCTTCCATATTGCGTGTTTAGTGCGTTACCTATTAAAGTTCCGTGGCAGTTTCACCCACTTTAGTGGCTATTCTCATGTGCGCACAGCTTTGTCGCAGCTTAGCTGCTATTGAGCTGCATCATTAAGCAATGAGGTGTGGGTTCGATTCCAGACTACGGCAATAGCATTTCATCGTAGTCAATACCATTTGGCCTGTTTGACGTCCATTGCAGGATAAAGGCCTCTCCCAATGATCTGCAATTTACCTTTCTCACAACTTATGTGCAGCTCATTCCATTTCATTTCTGGGAACTTTGTGAGAACTTTGTGTTTTTGTTGTCAAGTCCAGCTCGCTATCTTTTTGATCCCTTGATTTTCGTTCCATTGCCCCGACTGACCACTGATTGTCTGTCCTACTCATTATGAGGCCAACCCAAGTCTATGTATACTTCGTTTCTTTCTTTTTTGCTGAATTTTGATTAAAATTACACAACAGTGACAAAATGTAAGAATGCTTGAGTGCTTAGACTTTGGTTCACATTGAAAAATCAGGTGGTGAAGATTCATTTCAGGTTGTTCTCTAAATCATGCCTTATAGTCTTATCATGGCTTTGGCTTGTAAAGCCTCAAAACTAAAGGACAAGTAACCTAAAAGAAATGCAGCGAGCATGGTGTTGAAAGTTGAATGTCTTTTGAACAGGAAGGGCAATTTACCGTATTTACTCGAATGTAAGGCGACTATGATTGTAATGCGACAGGTGACTTTTCAGTGCCCCCCCTAAAAAAAAAACGAATGTAACGCGAGTAAAGTGCGGGGAAAAAAAGTACCTTTATTTGCTGCACATGGTAGTGGCAAAGACATTCCAGTTTCTAAATATGAAGTGAGTTTTGTTCATTCGTCGCTTTCATTACCATCATCGCCGGTGGTCAAGCCCTCTTTGTCACTTTCTTCCTCCCAAGTGAAGAGATCCTCCGTGCCATCCAAATAGTTCAATATCCAGCACTTTTTAAACACGAACTATTGTGTTGTGCGGCAGGCCGTACCAGCCTGCGAACACCCACTTGGCAATCTTTGCGGCGCTAGGTCGCGTTATCCTACCCGTAGGTGTCAAATCCCAATCTTCTCGCATCCATTTTCCGTACAGCTGCCGCATTCTATTCTAAAATGGTTTGTTCAGGCAGGCGTCTAACGGCTGCAGCACGGACGTCATACCTCCGGGAATAATGGCGAGCTGCGTCTGAGTTTCCCGCATCAGTTTCTTCACTTCGGGCGTCAGGTGGCCGCGAAATAAGTTGAGAACTAGAAATGGAGGCGGGGTGGAGGAGCGCACCTGGCCGTCAACACCACACTGTCTTGACCCAGTGAAGCATAAGCGGAGTGTCCATCAAACCTTTTTCTCAGCAGGGGACAATCACATCCCTGAGGAACAGCTCCTTCGGGATAGTTTTACGCCGGAAAATGATGTATGGTGGCAACTTGCACCCATCCGCCAAGCAGGCTAGCATCACGGTTAGCCGCGTCTTCTCGTTGCCTGTTATCCTTATGCAAACTTGGGGGGCACCTGTTTCGCTGACAGTTCTTGACATAGGCATGTCCAAGAAAACTGAAGTCTGGTTCGTGTTGCCAATGTGCCCCAAGGGCATTTGCGACGAGCAGCGCAGGTCGAGCACATAGCACTGAAACTCCACTAGCTTCGCATCATAATCTGCTGGTAGCTTCTGCCTTATTGACGTTGTTCGCCGGAGGGAAAATCCATTTTTTCGCATGAACTTTTGTGCCCATTCACGTAAAGCCTTGAAGTTCTCCCGCAGGATTCCCATCTCTCAAGCTACGTCTCGGGCTTTCCACTGAATCAGCTCAACGTTGACCCCCAATAGGCGATTTCGCTACTCGATCACAAACTCAGCCACATTTTTTTCGAGTTCTGTGTGACGGCCACAACAAGGTCCACGGAAGCCTTTTCGGCCGGGCTCACTCTTGAAGAGCGCTTCACGCTGGAGCCTCCACCCACGGATAGTAGATTCCGCCACATCTAGGCGTCGAGCCACGGCTGAATTCCCGATTTTCTCAGCTCTCAGTTTTGTACTTCTCTTAAAGCGGGCTTCGTACTGAACTCGTCGCGCTGCCATTTGCTCGAGCCGAAGTCGCGGAAGCACAAATTAAATAAACCGCCCCCAAAACACGTCGCCATGTGCACATCGCAGACAGTAAGATTGGATTGGATTGAATTGGATTCGATTTTGACAGCATGCATATGTTGCCAGCACAAGGTCGAAAGATCACTAGGTTTGTAGTAGCCATTTTAAGGAAGTGGTGGGGGGCACAGCCAAGGCACGATTTGAGGTGCTTCGATTATAACGCGGACCCCGAAATCGCTTCAGAGAAATTTTGAGAAAAACTCACTTTACATCCAAGTAAATACAGTAGTATGTGAGGAGTCTAACACATCGAGGGATTTATTTTCACCTACCGAGTGCCAGACAAAGTTTCTTACTCATCTTAGTGGCAGGGATAGACTTTCTAATGACACCTGCTTACTGCAAGTCTGGCACCCTCAGGTTTGTCAAAATAGTGGCAATACTCCGCATGCAGTAAAACGCATACAGAAAACACAGCTTGTAATCTACCCATTTTACCACCAGAACTCGGTTACCTCAGTTGTTTTCCTTGATCTTCTACGGGGCAGCAGTGAAATTTCATTGCATGAAAATTGCAGATAAACATTCTTGCTTATGTTGATGTATAAAATAAATGTTGTGCGGACATGAGATTATAAAAAGTTGAGCAGTTTGCTTTACGAAAAATGTTATAATAAAGTTGTATCAAGGTTTGACTTTACCAAATTAAAACTTCAAGCACAGCTATATACAGGTCTACTCGTGCAATTGTTTACTTGAAGTGAAGAAACGTTTAAAAACACCTCACTTCTAGTTGTTGTTGAGAAGGCACCGATTGTTGTGGCAAACAGCTCGCTTTATGCCACTATTTTGATAAACCTGGGGGTGCCAGACTTGCTGTAAACAGGTGTCATTAGAATGTGTATCACTGCCACTAAAATCAGTAAGGAACTTTGTCTGGCTCAGTAGGTGAAAATAAATCCCTGAATGTGTTAGGCTCCTCACTTGCGCAAGCAGTGCCCTCCAACCCCCCCCCCCCCCCCACTGCGATGTCTGTCATGTAATGCATTGCACGTTCATTGTCTTGTACATTGCACCCAACTTAATTAGAGGAATCAGTCTCAAGCTTGTCAAAAAGCACCTTCTGTGACTGGCAAGTGGTAGCTTATGCCCGTTTCACATATTACGACAAACAAAATAGCAAAACTGACGTACCTAACGAGTTGTATCAATTTGTTCCCTCAGGACATGTCTACCTATGTAAAGAAGGTACACTTCAAGCTTCATGAAAGCTACCCAAACCAGAACAGAGGTAAGTTACTCTTCATTGTTTTGTATTCTATGTTCAAGGGAATTCCAGAACACCGTATCAGATTGTCGAATATTTTTTTACAGTGCTTGCTTTTACGCAGCCACCTACTTGAAATTCTTTGTTGGAGTTTGTAGCACGAGCACTTTCATGACTTGAGAAAAATATTTTTTGCTTCTGGTTAATGCTAGCTGCTTAACAGTCTCCCTCCTTTGGCAGCACAGATTTTAAATAATGTGCAGATTGAACTCAATCTAACAAACCCAGTTTTATGAAGTTCCTGATCCAACGAAGAAATTTCGGTTCCCCAGCAAAAACCCATAGTGTTCAACCCGCATTAACGAATTAGCTTCGTTACCAAATCCTATTTAACGAAGGCTTTTCCAAAAATAACCGATTAAGTTTAATGGTAATTTTCTTTCCAGTTTTGCACAGATGGATTTTTCTTCAATCGTGCACTCTAACGCTATCGCATTGAAATCTCTAGACACCCCGCTCAAACGGCCCTAGCATCAGTTTGACAAGGCTGCATGCCATGACTATGCATGAAGCAATAGAATCCGCTGTCGGTAGCACCCTTACTATATGTGCCATGGGTGAGGGTGATTGGTTTTGCGATTTAGTTGCACTAATAGACTTCTTGTAACTTTTTGGTGCAGCCTACTCGCACTATGATTTCATACGTTCTCCAATCTTCATACGCCTACTATTCGCACGCCATTACTTCTTGAACGGTCTTTCTGGCCTGAATTGTCCGGACATATTGTCTTGTCTACGCCCAGACGATACGAGACGCTCCTTGTCAGGACCACCATCGTGGACTTTTCACATGCACTGTAGGAGATTGGTGGCAAAAAAAAGGGCCTGGTTGCTTTTGAATGTTGGTACATTACAAATATAGATTTAGAAGAGCCGAAACATGTTTTTTTTATTTAAAAACATCCCGATCAAGCAATATAATTTGAGCGTCCTTATTACTTTGGTTGATGAGGTTTCAACTGTAAGTTGAAACCTCATCTTCAGTCTAAGCAAACCCCACATGTTTGGTGCCATTTTCTTGTTTTTGCCTTTCTTGCCCAATTGCATTGCCTACTCAACAGCCAGCAAATGAACCGATACGTAAATAGTTAGCATTTTCATACAGATGTAATTCCTGTAATATTCAAGATTCGAAGACAGCATTTTACCTTACATCTTTTTACTTTATGCTCTTTTTCAACACAGTGGTGACGAAACCGCCATACGAAGTCACAGAAACTGGCTGGGGTGAATTCGAAATTGTCATCAAGATATACTTCATGGACACCACAGAGAGACCGGTAAGGAAAGAAGAAAAATAGGTTTTATTCAGTCTCAGTGCACATGTTGGCACCCGGCTAGAGGCGTAATTCCATTTCATATTACCGTTGAATACATATGCTGTCTGAAGCACAAGAATGTCGCAAAACATGCAATAAGCCATGCTTAGATTACGCATTCTGTGGAAAGTGCCGTATGCAACTGGTTGTTTCGACATAAGGAATCTCTAATCTTTTTATTTGAACATGAAAGTTAGCTTAACACATATTGGTTTTATTGCTTGTGTTACTGCTATTGCTGTGCACATTAAAAGCAATAATATTTGAAGAGGAATGCAAGTATTGACAGTAGTGAAATGCAAGAACACACATGTGCTTATATTTATGTGCATAGTAAGGAAACGCAGGTGGTTAAAATTAATCAGCTGTTCGACGCAACAGCACGCCTCATGGGGTATGACAGTTACTCAAAAAGTATTCATAGCGTTTGGTTTTATGGTGGTAACATTGGTAATACCAGTAATGGGAGTCTAATAACAATGGCTGTGGCACCATTTCATTCTTGAACAGTACACTACAAGTTACGAAATGAAGGCCTGCCAAGTCATGGTTTTTACCAGACCAGTTGTGTCTGGCAGTTCAGTCAGTGTGAGCCACTCTCGTTATATACGCGTAATTATGCACAGTTGTGCAAATTTTACAGTCTGCCGTTGTGGTGTAATCGGTTACTGTGCTCGGCTGCTGGCCTGAAAATCACAGGTTCGATTTCAGCTGCGGCAGTCTCAATTCGATACAGGCAAGATGCTACGAGCCTGTGTGTTGTGCGAGGTCAGTGCACGAACACCAGATGGTTGAAACTTCTGGAGCCCTTCACTTATGGCACCCCTTGCAATCATGCCGTGGTATTGAGACGTGAAATCCCAGATATAATTCTTGTTCTTTTTATTATTATTGTCGACATTTCACAGCATTTTTTGGAAGTACCGTAATTACATGAATCTAACGCGCATCTTTTTTTCGGTTAAGCGAGTTCATAAATTGCATGCGCGTTAATATCGAGTGTGAAAGAAAATGAATACGGTCATTCTATTGCCATCAGCATTTCCGAAATGGCCGCCTCCTACGTGCTTAGGGCATGGCGCGTCGGCCATTTCTGCCTATGTGTTTCCCATGTGCGGCACATCGTACGTGTACTGAGAAGTTCATCATATTGTAGTTCATTAGCATCGACGGCATGGAAGGGCCGACTCCAGAAACTCGACGAGTGCACCACGATGCCGCTTTTAAAAGAAAAGTCATCGCATGTGCCGAAACAGACGGAAATCGGGCCGCATCGCGGTCGTTCGGAGTTCCCGAAACGTGCGTGTGGGACTGGCGAAAACAAAAGCAGAAGATTGTCAAAGATTCATGCAAAGGCTTCAGTGGACCACAGCAGGGTCGGTTTCTGCAAATCGAAGAGCTGCTCGCCGAGTATGAACTTGAGCAGCGAGCGGCACAGCGGCTCGTGACGACAGAACTGCTCTAAGTGCGGGCTATGCAGTTAGCTTTAGAAAAAGGGCTAATGCGGAGCCAGTTCAAAGTGAGCAGGTGCTGGCTAACTAACTTTATGAAGAGGAAAGGCTTTTCCCTCCGAAAGCGAACGGGCATGCGCCAAAACTTGCCGGAGAAGTACGAAGAAAAGCTTCACAGTTTTCAGAGGTTCGTCCTAAACTTGCGGAACAACAACGGCTACCTGCTTGGGCAAATCGGGAATGCCGATCAGACGCCTCTTCACTTCGACATGCCTGGCACCACAACCGTCGAGAAGAAGGGGGCGAAGCAAGTTCGCCTGCTGACATCGGGCCACGGTAAAAGAAGAGTGACGGCACTGCTCCGTTGCACATCAGATAGACACGAGCTTCCCCCGTACCTCATATCACACTACTCAGGAAGACGCTCTTGAAAGGAGTCGTTTTCCCGAGTAGCGTGATCGTGCGGGCTAACGAAAAAAATGGGTGCGCGTTGCAATCGATGTCTTACTTTTTTTTCGTCGTGAAAACCGAGTGCGCGTTACAATCAAGGGCGCGGTAGAACCGAGTAAATACGGTACTGTTAATATGCTATTTTGTCACAATACATAGCTGAGCTATCTAATATTGTGCAAATATTGCTGATCAAGTTTGTTAACATGTAACAGTCAAGTTTGTTTACTGGTTGCCTGAGGTATGCCTTTTTGCATTCTGAATTAATAAACCACTCGAATTTCTATTTGATACCATGTACTCCTCAGCAATATTGTTTTTTTGCTTTGTGAAAACACTCTATAACTCATTGTAATAATACTGCTAAAATTAATGCTCTGATCATAAAGAGGCAAAGTGCAAATGAATTTCCTGGTATATAGGTCTCTAAATAATTGCAATAATGCATCTGCCTGTGCCCACATTTCTTTCAAGCCCTGACCTTGTTTCTATTATTCATAAAAACAAAAAAACTCGTATTGACCAGTTCTCTATTCATAAAATGCCGTAACGTTGTCTTAGAAACTTCACTTATGAATTTTCCCATCTGTGCATATCAATTAGGTGACTCTCTACCACATCTTGAAGCTCTTCCAAAGTGAAACCAACATCATGCTCGGGAAGAAACAGCTTGTGACGGAAATGTACGACGAGCTGGTGAGTGGTAGAATTTGTGCGGACGTGTGCCTTTAATGGCAACTTTATACCCAAATTTTAGACTGTGAGAGTAGCATAGGTTCAGTATGTAGTTATAGCAAAGTATAATTGAAAAATTTAACATCTCAGCTCATTTTAGGTAGATACTCTTTAGGCCCTCCTGGAGGAAATATTACAAGTCGGATGTGTCATGAGAGCTTGTGCAGATACCAGTCTTTTATTGCATTTGGTGCTTCTTTAGCTACTTCTCCACCACTCGGACTTGCCGACCAAATGTTGTGTTCTGCATGAATAGAAATGAAAATTTTTTAATGTTCTAGTGATCGGACTTGAACTGTAAGCCTCGTGAACTGGAGCTTAATGAGTGCTACAGTAACTACGCCAGGTGCCTCACATCTCATCGGACAGATTATAACGCTGTCGTTCCTCATGCAAGCACGCTCGGTTGGGCACGTTCTGTAAAGCCAGCAGATTTTCACTACGCTGACTGTCTGTTGTGATGATCTTTCGATGAAGCAGCGCACAAAAGGACACAGAAAGACACACGCATAAAGGATGCAAACACAAGCGATGTACTGCTATTATAGACAGTCATTCAGTCTTTCCAAAAACACGGGTACAGACCGCCTGAATACCGTAAGTCCATTGCACACGCTTGTGCGTCTGCAAGAAACGCGCATTTGTATAACTTTCTTTTTATGTGCTTGGTAATTCACATGGATAAGCATTCATTTTGTGTGCTACTTGTTTTATGTTATGCCTGATTTCCAAGCAAGTTCTGTACCCACCCTGCAATGTCTCTCTATGAGACGGCAGTATATGTAAATGAATGTAAATAAATAATGAGCTCTAAAAAAGCAAACTCTAAATATTACGCAACCAGTGCACGCTTATTTGAGGACAAACGCAATCTATCCTGATGGAGACAGATCGACTGGTGAAAGAAGAACTCTTACGCATGCGCATCCTTCTTACGCACTGCGAAGCATCGGCGTTATATACTGATTCATCACGGGGGTTCATGTGCTCTCTTTTAACGTCGTCTTCACTGTCGTTGCTGTTTCCTTATCACGACTGTTGGTATGGATCTTATTGGTCGTCAGTTAAGCTCACGTCCATGCTTCGTCGTCGACGATAGTTATAGCGCGAAAACAAAACGACGACACAGAGACAAGAAGGACACGAAAGACACGAGTGCTGTTTCGTTTTCTTGTAAAATTTTCTTTGCCGTTTTTCTGTGCTTTTGTTTTTTGTCTTTGTTTTTTCTCTTACTCATGTTCAGCTCTTTGTGCCATATGGTTTTTATCACATGGTTACTGTCTCCTCTATATATTTTCCTGCTAGCGCTCGTGTCTTTCGTGTCCTTCTTGTCTCTGTGTCGTCGTTTTGTTTTCGCGCTATAACTATCGTCATGCCATACCAACTAGCCCAAGCTGCCACACTTCGTCGTCGAACTGCGCGTAGTGTTCAAGTGCTAGTGAAGCATGCAAGGGTAATCGTCGGCAACTTCATGCCATAGGTCACTCGTGTCGCATTTTTCACAGTTGTAGCACTTCTTTCGTGCTGCTTTTGAAGCTCTTCTTGAATGCTCAACCACCAACTAAAGGCTAGAAAACAGCCATTAACAAGTGCGCAGGTGAAGCAGCCCGACAAAAACAAAGGCTGTGGGGCGAAGCCTGACGCATAGAAAAGGTTCCAGGCGATGATGATGGCGGTAGGGTTATCGCACATTCGAATAAGGCGGGCGTACAGAAATATACGTGGGCATTCGCATGACGAACTCTGTTAAGACAAATTCTTGCTTAAGACGAACAACTTAGGAATGTTTGTTTCGTTTCCCACAGACTCAATGCAAAAAAAAAAATCTGCTTAAGACAAACCGCGCAACAGACCTCTTCTGTTACCAACTCTCACAGCAACTGACAAAGACTGTGCAACGAACATTATAGTCCTGACGGGGGCATTCAGGCGAACAAGAAACAGCAAATTGCTACGTGGAGGGAGAAAGCGAAATTAGTGGAAAAGAAAGATCAGCACGTAAAGCTGGTATCTCACTCACCCATAGCCTGTATGTGGTGAGAGGGCCGGCTTTATCAGCAAAGAAAGCAACAAAAAGCATTCATTCTTTTGTATTCTCTTCATGTTCTTCAGTTCCCGAGCAGGAGTACAGTGGAGAACTGAAGAACATGAGAGCTTGGCCAGAGGGGAAAATGCAAGGGAAGGGCTGCAAAAAAAAAAGCCATGGGAAAGGGAAAACGGGAACAAAGATTGTCTGTGCATTGTAATCACATAAAACCGAAATCACATATGTGGCACTAGCACTCCCATCAGTGGAGTCAGGTGCATTGTTATCGCCGTCACACAATGGCACCTCAGCACATATTGTGGTCAGTTTTCGTTGTTTTGCACAGGGCCTGCGCGCATCGTATCTGTTCCCAGTAAATACAGTAAATTGTGATGCGCTATTTTTAGTGTGAAAGTGCACAATAAAGGAAGGTCATTTTTCATGCTGAATATAGCTGTGTCGTGCCTTTTTTGTGTGCCCAAGACTTGCGATCATGAGTAACGTAAACGAAGATATTAAGCTGCACGTCATTGAGGAAAGTTACTGCGGGCTGAAATAAAAGAATATCCGAACCTCAAAGAAAATCTTGCAGATTGTTATAAGCAACTTGGCATATGTTGACTTTGTCAAGGTAACAGTATGCAATGCAATTCAAAAGTGATAGCAAAGCCAGTAAAAGAGCACCTTGGAAGATGAACATCCAGAAGAATAAATTTTTTATTCTTTGAAGAAGAATTTAACTTGTCTCTCCCTACCTACATTGGCCTTAACATCCGTGGCTACTGCCAACTGCAGAGCACTCTCCCCATCCACCCTCTCTCTTCATGTTACATTTGCTTCCCAAAGACATGCACCTAGAGCACCAGATCGTTCCCAGTCTTTGCCATAAGCATCATCTCCAGCACCCTGGTACTGGAAGTCACTGGCTCAGTTCACAACACCTTTAAACGGGTCATGACACCCAATTTCTGACCATAACCTGTGTTGTCTGGGTCGGTCCTTGTACGTTCACAAACAAGCTGGCGAAATATCAGCGCATTCGGTCGTGCCGGTAATTTGTAATCGAATATTTTTATAAACGAGCAAGCGGCTTAGTGGTCCGGCCACAATGGCACACTTGCTAGCCGTGACGTAACGAACAGATTGCTCCGCAAGCTTCTGCATGGTGTGCAGTATGGAGGGCGATTGTGTTTCTTGGTCAGCTGTGCTTGCAATCGAGTTGTTTCAGCGTTATTCAACATGCCACTAGAACTGAATGACTTGCAGCGGTTGAAGCAGTGCCACCGCGTCGCCCGTGCTGTGCTGGGGGTGACAGAGTTACAGAGCATACAGAGCAGTGAGAGTACTGTGTCATTTTTCGAGTTTTCTAAAGAGCCCGCCAAACGTAAGGCTTGGGAGATAAACCTGCACAGGAAGGACTGGTGCGCAAGTGATACATCTGTTTTGTGCTCAGCGCACCTCACGGCAGGCAGCTACAATGATGACCAGCGTGTCCTCGGCAAGTTCGGTATACCATCGAAAAAGCCGAGCCTGTGGCCGGATGCTGTGCCAACCGTGTGCTCGCGAATGCAGCGTCTCCTAATAGTTTAGCTCGCTTGTCAACCTGGCACGCTTGAAATAAAGCTACTTACCATTGCGGAAGGCTGTCTGCAACGTCTGCCACAATACCGAGGTTGTTAGTATCTGGATTCGCCTCGTTTTTGACACTTTCTTGCTCGAGATGGTGGCGATGGGGTTGAAATCAAAATGCGCAGCGTACACGACGTCAACGCCGCTTCTGCTGCTCACTGCATCATTGCCCAAATCTTGAGCCGACGATGGTGCTGACGACACGGTGATGGTACCAGTACCACTTTGCAACACTTGCGACACGTGCGGACCACGTGGCAAGCAACACTCGCAACAAAATGAACACACTGACCACATGCCGTAGGTACCGTTTTGTAACAGATGACGGCACTGCTCCCATCGGTTTGTGACGTCACGCACGCCACGGCAAAATGGCAGTCGCTGGCGGTGGGCAGAGTTAACACCCGAAGACTTCTATGGCTTATTTTAGACTGAAATAATCTTTCGCAGTCCAGTTTTCACGCATGTACAAGTATATTCGACCCTCTACCTTCGTTCTTCGCCGAAAACAGCAAATTTCTGGGTGACCATGTCATGATCCCTTTAATCGAGGTTAAGGAGGCCATCATTACCCTGAATCCATCCTCCACATTTGCCTGCCTATGCATATTGGGCCCAACCTCGTGCCTTTTTATCTGTCTTTGTCATGCAGCCAACAATTTTATATGATGAATAAGCAGATTGGACAGCTACGGCAATTCAATTCATGCCCTAAATTTTGAATATTTGAACACCCCTGCCTCTTCCGTCATTGTAAACATGCAAATTTGGAGCGAGAACACTAATCTACTTTTTATAGCTCCACAGAACATCACTACTGTTATGCTGTACAGCACACATCAGTGACACTGGGGTTGACTCTGATGATGATTAGAGCTTTCCGCTCAGGAATCATTTAAGAGCGATCAGGCTTTTGAGTGGCTTTTTGTAGTCCAGTTCCTCTGTTCAGTTCGAGTCAAGCAGCTCATGATAAAACTTTTACTTCACTTGCAGATATTTTCTGAACCCACAGTGATGATGCAGCAGCTGCTTACAAGCACGAGGCCTCTTACAGTGGGACCATACAAACATGAATATGACTGTAAGTACGGATACCTTCACAGAAGAGAGCGTATGCACAGAAAGTACTGTGTCACTGGAGGCAGGGGGGAGTGGTTGGCCATACACAAACTTGCCATGGCTTCATGCTTATTGGTGCGGCAGGGTGTTTATTCTGGATGCTGCCGGAAAGCTCAAGTTGGCTGTGTTATTGCACATTGCACTTAAGCAGGAAATTTGTATCTGACATCTCTTATCAACCCTTGGTTAAGTTTACTGTTGCAGTACAACAGTAACCAGCTGTTGTCACAGAAATAGGCCGCTTCTGTTCGTAACGACCTGACCCATGTAACAACGTATATGTACCACACCTTGCATGCAGAGGCTCTTACGCCAACAGCTTTGTTTCTTGAATGAAAAATGATGCTTAATTGTTCTTAACTTTGTGTTAGCACAAACTTGTTTTTGTTTCCATTCACTTTTATAAATTGAAAAAAAAAAAAAAGAAACATGTCATTTTAAACATTTCTTCATAATATGCATCTTGGTGCTCAATGGCAGAACATAATTCTAAGGTTGTTTCATGAGAAATTATTACGCCGTGTTTCAGTCGAAGAGAAGAAAGAGAAGTCGCTGCATTCCATTCTCCAGGCAAAAAACAAGATTCGTCTCGAAGTGGCTGACCTCAAAGAGCGCCTCAAAGTGGCCAGGGAGACTATCGACAAGTACAAGTCTGAAATTAACAAATTGGAGTCACAAGGTGATGTAGACACTGGCGGAACAACCACACCTAGTGCCGCACCCTGATGGGCTTTCGTCGCCCAAGAGTCTGGTGTGATGTTTCTGCGAGTGCCAGTGTGTGCTATGGACATGTTGCATTGGTTGAATAGAGCCAAATGTGGTGCTCTTCTTGAGAGCACGAACACTGTCGCATGTTGACATGTTTGTCTCTTTTTCAGAGTGTTTGTAAGCCAACAAGCATGTATAGTATTCCCCTTATGTCAATTGAACGCTTTCTTCTTTTGCGTCAATCTTTACCCAATAGAAAAAAAAATTGCTTCAGGTTTGAGCTGTTTTAGCTTTACAATTTAGAACTTTGGATGTGACTAACATTTGTTTCAAAAGAGCATGCTTTTTATGTGTCCTAACATTGTTGCAGTCAGTCTCACGCCCTGGGTAAATGATTTGTGGGTTCACTGCTTATACTATTGCCCATATTGTGGTACCTTAACTGTATGTCCTGAGGCATTGGGCGTTGTAGTTACCACTGTTCATTTATCGGGCTGCATCAGGCACATTACAACATGTACTATGCTGAAAATGCAGTGCACTATCACACGTGAGGTACCATATTCACTCCCGTAATGAAACCACCTTTTTTTTTTTTTTTTTTTCAGAAAAGTTGACGTTGATTTGGGGGAAGGGTTCATTACGCGGCAGAAAAAAAAAAAGTGACGGGAGTTATAACAGTGAAAATTTCGCATGACAGTGTTGCTTGCGTTGGCCCGCGAAATGTGCGACGAATCATTTTTGTAGCCCGAAGCTCTTGTTTTCTCCTGTAACAAATTCACACGAATCAACACAGAAGTGTGGTCCAGCCGCTCGGTTCCTATGCTCGGGCACATGCTGTTTGCAGCCAGCTGTGTAGCTAGCATACCTGCCGAAGGCGCCCTGTGCAGGAGGTGTCGAAACCAAGTTCACAACAACAAATGCGAGGAACAGGGTGTCGTATTGCGGTACACGAACATTGTGGTAGACGTCGCGGGTGTACGACACACCGTCGGCACAGTGGGTGCGGTTGTGCTTTGCATGGTCTTCGAGATGGCGGGCACACGGCATGTTTTTACGCTGCACGCCCGCTTTTTAAGAGGCCACGCACTTTGTTTTCGTGCCGTTGTGCTTGCATGACGCTATCAACAAAGATTCTCCTGCATTTGAGAGATGGCGATTTGCCGCAAAAGGTGCAACTTGCAAATTTTGATCAACATCATCCGCGCTCGCGTTTCTCGCAACTGTTTAGCATGGTTTCGGAACTATGTTTTGACGTTTTTGCGTTGTTATTTTGCAGTTTAATAGCTTGATTTGACATTGTTTTGATCGTGAACGGCACTGGTTATCATACCGAATTAAAATTAACAGATACACTAAAAAATGTTTTTTTTTTTCTTTTTTCGAGGACTAAGCTTGGAGGTGGGTTCATTATGCGAGTAAATATGGCGTATGGTTAAACTTTGCATAGGTCAGCGAACTCACTCATGAGTCGACTCACTCTGACTCACCATGACTCAGATCAAGCCATGAGTCTGAGTTTAAGTGAGTTCGGCTCAGTAAAATTTTGTTGAGCCTGAGTACGAATGAGTCCACAGCGCAATATGTATTTGTTGAGTGAGTGTGATTGAGCTCCACTTTCTTTTGCCAACCTAAGGCCCTATCTAGTCATCTTCAGCATTACTATCAGCCTTGTCTGGATTCGTTTGTACACCATTTGAATATTTATTAATCAGAGGCGTGAATTATATAAGGACGTGCCTTGACCTTCTCTCGACCAAGTATTCCAGAGAAGTTCTTGGTAAATATATCTTATGCTGTCAGCTCTTCCAAGAAAAATGACCTTACTGGTTTAGAAGCGCTCGGAACTCGTTTTCGAAGTTGCAGTGTTAAACAACGCCAGGAAGAGCTCCCATTACGTGAGATATTGGTACAGTTAAACCTGCTTATAACGAACCTTCATATAACGAAGTTTTCTCATTCCCCGTCGTCGCTCCATAAAAGCACATGTATTTGCGACCTCTAAGTTGCATAATAACAGTGGGAGACAACATTGATATAACGAATTTTCGCCACGGACAATCGAGGAATTTCGCTCCGCATTTTGGTACGAACATGCATCTTTCACGACTGCCCCGCCGCCGCTGAAGCACGAAGCCGTGGCGGCGGGCACGTCGGCCACGTCCAGCAAGCCTGAGCTCTACGAGCCGGCTTTGTCGTCGTTCTCGCCGCCTCGCTCGCATGCGCGGGAGTGCCCCCCACCCCCCCACTCCAAACCAACAGAAAAAAAAAAACTACTTTTGCGTGTTGGCAATGCCACGCCTTTAGTTAGCGTCACATATATGGGACCGCGCTACATATGGAGGGCGCTTTACCGATTAGTTTTCCACGGTATCTGTGTCCATGTCGTTTGCTCTTCGTTTTCGACCCCGTGCGCGTGTGCATAGTTTCACTGCGTGTTTCGCTGCTAATCTTGCTTTCAAAGTTGCATTGTGAAACGGCGCCAGGAAGAGCTCCGATTACGTGAGATATTTGTTAATAAAAAACATTCACACCGAGGTCGAAGAAGCTCATTCCAGGCAAACGAAGTTATGAGTCGACTTAGTCGGACTTGGATCGAGCTGCGAGTCTGAGTGAGTCCAAGTGAGTAATGTTTTGGTGAGTTTAAGTCCGGGTAAGTCCAGTAGAAGAAAAATTTTTTTGCAAGTCTGAGTCCGAGAGATCAAAGCTCTGAATATATTTAATGAGACTCTGAGTGAGCTCCACGAGTTTTGCTGACCTATGGTAAATTATCAGAGCAAAGTGTTCTATGCGGAAGCTAAGGTGCTCTCTGTGGCGAGTTCAATGTAGAAGCTGCATCATCAAATGCCAACTGATGGAATGTTGTCGTGTTGTAGTACTACTGGGATATTGCTAGGTGTGTGCTAGAAATGGTAAGTCGTTGAGTTTATCCCGAGAGTGTCGCCCGATCCGACCCGTGCTGCCTCCAAGTCGTCATCAAAATGTTGTGTGTGTGAAGTCTCCAGTGAAAGTATTTATGGAGTATGCTCATGTATTTCATGTTTTCTTCGCTCCAAATATCTCAGTGAGCAAGGGAGGAGAGGCTTCGCCCGGAATACAAATCTTGCACCTGCTGATGTTTCGGAGCTGCAGAAATAAATGCGGAATTGTGCCTGCTGACCACATTTGTGCCTTGAAGTAGGGTGCCTAGAATATTCCACAGTGTTAGTACCGACCAGCTTTCTTGTTTTCAAACAGAACGCGTCACTGTGTTATATTAGCAGCTAATCCTTTATCTGAATAAACGTGGCATCGTGGTCGTGTGTAGTTTGTTCACACCACGGGCACAGGTTCTGTCTTGTCCTGTATGTTTGCACGTTAAGATTGAGCTAGCTAGCACAACTCCTGATTTGTCTAGGTTCCGGCTTCTGTGTTGTAATGTTGGTGTACAAGATTGAGCCAGCTAGCACAACTTCCAATTTGTCCAGGTTCCGCCTTCTGTGTTGTAATGTTGGTGTAGATACACATGCCGGTAATCATTGCCAGCATGTGTATGTACACCAACATTACAATGTTTCAGTTGCCATTACAAATGTCAACTGAAACAACCCTGCAAGGACTACTATAGCAAATTATTTTAACTGCTTTTGTGCTTACCTCCTTTGAGTATTCCTTCAATTTCAAACATCTGAGGTAAGTGCTGAATTTTAAACAGCTGAAATCTGCATGAGCTATATTGACGTAGTTGGAGTCCTGATAAAGCTCTCCTAGTTGTGCATATATTTAATCTGCAATGAAGAAGCTTCCTCTGAAGGGTTTCAAGTTGGGCTTGTTGTTTGGAAACTTCTGGTTGAGTGAAATGGTGCATTTTACATGTGTGTCGAAGTTGCACAGTTTTCTCTTTTGTGTTTGGGCTCGTTGGTTTAACCTGGGCTTACTCTGGAGCTGCACTGCATGCGTCCGAGGTGAATGTGGCTGCTATTACTGGCTCCGCCCAAAAACTCCTGAACACTGACCCCCCCCCCCCCCCCCCCCCAGTTTGAAACGTCCCCCCATAAGTTGGAAGTGAGGGTGGGCATGCCCCCCTCTAACAGCTGCTACGACCTCCCCCCCCTCCTTCTCTCTCCTTAGCAAAAACAGAGGTATGTATTAATGCCCCCATATATATATATATATATATATAAAGGGAAAGAAGTGTATACCTAAGGGCTCGTTTTTCCGTGTTTTAACACAATTTAACACAATATTAATGAGATCTAACAGACAGTAATGCCAAGGAATGTACAGGGGAAGTTATTAGAACCAATGGAATGTATATAAAAAAAAGAAAAGTAGATGAAAAAATAACCAGCCGTGAGCTGGTTATTTTTTCATCCACATTTCTTCTTATACTCATTCCATTGGTTCTAATAACTTCCCCTGTACATTCCTTGGCATTACTGTGTGTTAGATCTCATATATATATATACACTGATGAAGGCAGGCCCGCCTGCCAAACGTTAGTAAAAACTAGGTTTCATACATTTGTCGTCATATCTTTGTACTGCATATATATATATATATATATATATATATATATATATATATATATATATATATATTCCTGCCAACGAACGTCGCCGCCACAGTTCAGATATACTTCGAGAGCACCTGGCTCCGCCTTAACTATAACGTTGCTTAGCTTGTATCTGCACCTTAGTTGTGTCTATGTAAATACCTGTTTTAATTGGTGAAGGTTAAGTGTTCTTCTAGAATCTTAGAGTTATACTGCCATGCACTACTCATCATCAAGATCACCAAGAGCAATGCAAGTCCGCCACCGCCTGCAACACATGCTATCACATACATGCTCCTGTATGATCCTTCAACACGACCCTACCATAGTATTTAGTGGCACTGATCACCGCAATGTACAGGACTAGTTGTCATTTTATGATTGCATGAAACTTCACTACAAATTTGATGACATTGACAACTAAAGTCAACCAATCTCATTTTCTACTTGGGCCGAGTTATTTGATTGGTGTTTGTGTTGTTTAGACTCCTGTCGTGTTTGTACGCCCAGTTTTTTAACATAAGTACGTACTAACTAGCTCAACTCATTGTTGTTCTATTCACTAACTAGGGGTTCGAATGCAAAAAAAAAAAAAAGTGACTTAACTTAGGGTGGCGTTCCCGATCGAGTTCAGCTGTTTTTGCCGTCCCAAAATTCACAAGTATTTTGTACGACCGCATTTGCAATCTTGATTGCTGCAGCCCAGTTATATCTTTCCGACTCAACTGGAAAAAGTCGTCAGCCAGTGCGATTGCAATGATCCGTTCATGACCGAGCCGGAGGACACATTTCAGGTACTGTGTCATAAACGCAACTTTACAGTTCTTAAAGTAACTGAGCCGCGCTGCAGCAAGGACGAGCTCTGCCAAAAAAAGCCCAGTCATCCACCAGCCTCCTGTGCAGGAGTCTACGTGCGGCTTGACAATCTCTCCCTTGTTTTGCACATGAAATATTTTGGCAGGAAGAAGTTGCCCACCAGCCCTCCATAGTCTCCGAGCTGCTGGAGCTGAGTTTGTTACTTCATTTGACATCATGACAGACTATACGGGAGCATGTGAAGTGCAACCACCAGAATGGAGCCCCACCGAATTACACCAAAGCCACATAGCACATACTACAAGCTGTTCATCCCGTCTGCGAACCAGCAAGTCGTAAAAAACATATAATCAAAACCTGTCTGAAAAAAGTGCTTTCGTAAACTGTAACAGTTCTTATTGTCTCAAATAACGCAGTTGACGGCTGTCCTCGTTAGTATAGTGGTCAGTATCCCCGCCTGTCACGCGGGAGACCGGGGTTCGATTCCCCGACGGGGAGTTTTTTTTTTTTTTTTCATTATCATTTTTTAATATAATGAGAAATGCGCTGACGAGGCTTTATTGCTAATTTTGTTTGCACACTGGCACTGTCGTAACTGGGGGCAAGTGGGGTGGGTGGAAGTTTCACGTCCTCCTCTGAAAGTTGTCCCGGCTGCTGCAGCGGCTGCATTTCCGATGGAGGCGGAAATGTTGTAGGCCCGTGTGCTCAACTTTCGGTGCACGTCAAAGAGCCCCAGGTTGTCAAAATTTCTGGAGCCCTCCACTACGGCGTCTCTCATAATCATATCGTGGTTTTGGGACGTTAAAGCCCACATGTCAATCAATCGATCTCTGAAAGTTTTCAGTTTTCGACGCATGATCATACATAATACTTGGCTGGCCCCTGTCTCACTAAAAAAAAAACAAAAACAGATCTGTATTTAATTTTCGACTACGGCGGGGACTAGAAGTGAGTGCTTGGAATGTAAATAATGAAAACAAAATTTGTTTTTCTAGCCCACCCGTTGGTAGTTAGAATTGCTACAGGGTGTAGGAAATCTTGTTTTTGTAGTGATTCAGAACACCCGCCTGTCATGCGGGAAATCAACTCGTCAACAATGTTTTTGTTCAGAATTTTTCTTCTTCTTCTTTTGAGTTTTCATAAGAAATATGAGCACATGCTCGAACCTTAGTTGCTCATCTTCTTTTATTTAGAATAAGCCGCCATGTACAATACAGCACGTGCCCATGTCCAGCCATAACTATTTTCGTCGTTTATTTGTTTTTTTAAGAGAGGAAGTGCTCTAGAGGACTAGGACAATAGCGAGGACATTGAGAAGCAACGTCGTTGTTTCTTTTTTGCCTCCAGACAACTTTCAAGCTTGTCGACATTCGCGGAATCGCGATGTTTCTCCTTGGGAAGTCGGGTGAGGCAGGGAAGCCAGTAGCATAGAGACATCAAACTTTTTGTTGACGGGACAACGTATAGCGTTTGGAAGTTGCTGACAAACGCTGTGGTTGGTTACACGTGGATCGCTTCATCTGCAGGTGATTTCTGCGCTGTTGGTTCCTTAATCCGCATGGTTGGCAGAATTGAGTGCATTTTCCTCCCCTGGGCGTCTATATCGCGATCGTGTTGGCGAAATTAGGTATGATACGGTTGCGTGACGTACGTGAAAACGGCCGGTACTGGAGGCCACAAGTGTCGTGGCATCAATAATTAAAGATCGAGCATGAATGCGACGTCAATAGCACTACTTGGGAACGCGCATGCACTGGCGCCACCAATAAAGCGCCGTCAAGGAAAATAGAAAAAAAAAAGGAAGGGGGAAAAAATGAGGTGGTGGTCTCACGGAAAGGTACACATAGCAGAACGAGGAGAAACAAGCAGGCACGGCGCCGTGCTCCCTACCGGGCTGCAGAAATTGCTGTTCTAACCACTGCCACCACTACGAGGATAAAAGCAAGCCGGTGGAAGTCTGGATCACTTTGTAATGTTGAGTGCCTATATAAAATCAAGCAATAAAAGCTCGGCTCAATAATAAAAAAGTAAATGGAGAACAAAAACATCGCTCTAGGTCTGGGACTTGAACCCCAGTGTCCCACGTGACAGGCGGGTAACTAAACCACTATACAAACGAGGAGGCAAGGGGGGGGGGGTACTAACCACTGTAGGCAACCGACAATGGTTATGTGGCACAGCGATAGATGGATGGATGGATGCATGAATGGATGGATGGATGTGGGTGTACCCTTTATATTGGGCGGCGGCTAACGCCACCTAGCCGTAATACTTAATGAACTAACCATTAGATTTATCCTTTTTTTTTCTTTAAATATTCAGGTTAAGGATTCGTGCTTTACAGTGAAGGGTTTAATTTTCACTCGTGCCTTGACTTTAGCCACCAATCAGATAACCTCCTTCTAGTTAAGTATACCCGCTTAAAGTCTATTTTACCCTCCCTGTCCCTAAACTTAGAAAAACTCTGTGCCATCATCCTGAGCTATAGGGTGAACCCCTTTACAGAACATTATCAAGTGTTCGGCAGTTGCCTCCTCCTCTCCACACGCACTGCATACCGTGTCTACTCCTTCGTAGTTGGTCCGATATGTCTTGGTTCGCAATACTCCCGTCCTGGCCTCAAACAGCAGAGAACTACCCCGAGTATTATCGTAAATCCTCTCCTTGGCAATCTCCTGCTTAAAAGTTTGATAGATATCTATGCGGACTTCTTAATCATGCCAATTCTCCACATGTCAGTCTCCGTTTCCTTCGCTTTCTTCTTGACCGATAGTTCTTTTTGGTTTCGCCACCTGCTGTTTTCTAAGTATTTACCAGTCAATTTCCTGGTTCGCTTCCTCCATTTTGTATCGACATTCTTCATGTACAAGTACCTGAAAACCTTCCTAGCCCAACGCTCCTCCCCCATTTCTCTCAATCGCTTCTCAAAGTTTATCTTGCTGCTAGCT